CATACACACAGACACACACATACACACAGACACACACACACACACACAAACGCGAGGGAGCATGCTTGAACACACACGTACAGGAATCCCTGGAGCTGGTTGGTTCTCAGAGCAGAGTGATATATATAGAAGTGAAAGGGAAAAGAGTGGAGGTACTGTAGGGGGAGGAGGTCTGTTATGATTCCAGTGGTTCTAACTAATTAAAGAGGCTCCTGACAGTAACAGGAAATTACTGCTGAAGAGGTCAGAGCATCTTCGTGGAAGCCCTCGAGGGGATATATTGGTGGACCTAGTGGTTGTCATTAGCTAAGATTTTCTAATGCAGTTTAACGTGTCCAGGAAGGCGTAATAATGTGTCTCAAATAATAAATAAGTACAGAGAGTGTTACTAATGTTGGTAACTGACATTTTGTTGTCACTCTGCATGCAGTTTTAATATTTTAACTTTTTTACCACCTAGTGTTCTTTAATTATTGTTAATCTTACAGTTTAATACTGATGCCTTTATATGACCTACATAAACAAATCACAAGACCATCAGCGAGAAGATATCCTACACAAAGAAATATCTTAGCTTATCTTACACAGCTACTTCTACATAGTTATTTGGATTTAATCCGATTCCCCTGGAAATTAATGAAACCAGGTGGTAGAAACACTTCCATTTTTGTCCACATGGGCCATCAGAATCAAAACAAAATTAAAGTTATTTTATAGGGGCTTTCTTTGCCATAATGTAAAAACATAACTGTTTTTTTGGCCGCATAAAGACATATTAGAATTTAATAGTTGATTTATATTTTGTAATACTCTGAATCTGAAACTACTAATTGTCAGATAAATGAATTAAAAAATATATTTGTCTCTGAAATGTAGTGGAGTAGAAATATAACTTAACATAAAATAGAATACTCAAGAAAAATGAAAGTAAACTAAAGTGTTTATAAGATAAATAAAAATGTAGAACTGAATTTATTTATGCACTATTACCCAACAGAAAGGATCACCAACCAACACCAACCAGGGAGATTTTTAACAATCTGGCAACCCAAAAGGAGTTTTTATTAACTGCTTATAATTGATCTATAAAGCATTGGTAAATATTTATGAAGTGCTTTATAAATTATTCCTCTTTACAAAGTTGTACCCATTAATTCAATAATCTCAGTTAGACATCTTATTCATGGTGAGAAGAAGATGTTGGATATTTCACCTTTTTCAAAACCCATTTCAGCAACTTTAAAGGACTGTTCGTGTAAATGTTTACCACCAGATGAGCCCTGCTGGCTAGTTTGTTCTATAATTTATGAAGTCAACAAATACTCTCAGTGTTGGAGGAAAACTATGCTTTGCATTTTAGATAAATAATGTTTACTGCTAAAATGCAACCCAGTGCACGCTGGGTAACCCCTTAGGCTACCACTTCATTATTCACCCCCATATCCAAAACAGATGCAACAGTACACAATGCGATGACACATGCACAAACACAAGCTTGTTAACACTCACGCTGCATTGCTGTGTAGAAACAGGCTTGACCTGCATAAAACTGGATCTCATCTCCAAAAAGAAAAAAAAAAAAAAAAGATGGCCCCAGGTAAACACAAGCAACAGTAAAATCCAGCAAAAGGAGAGAAGTTAAGGCTTCTTGCTCAACAAACAGGATAACCACTCCGCACGAGGCTTGAGTCAGTGTAAAATCCAATTACAGAGGTGTGCTCTCAATTGAAACTCTGTCAAAAACTGTATCTTTTGGAGAGTTTAAAGCTCTGATAGCCACCGCAAAGAAAACAAACACTCTTTTTCCTCTACTGCTGACTGAATGAGCAGGCTTCTTAAAGGAGTCTTGTTAGAGAGACGTACAATGTGGCTGAGTTAAGGTGGTGAAGCTGCTGTGCGTGACTTAGAGAGAGAGAGAGAGAGAGAGAGAGAGAGAGAGACTCCCTCCTCTCTGCCTACCACCCACTCTGAAAAGGGGGGATGAGGGGGAGGAAAAAAAAACCTCAGGGAAAGTCCTAGTGACGTTTCCCACTGCATCCTCCCATCATCCCTATGCTGTGTTTTCCTACATCTCTTTCCATTTTTACATCCTCCTCCCTCCTGTCCTCCCCTGACATGGCTTCCCTGCCTCTATCCCTCCCTCTACACCTCTCCTGCATGTATCTAGTACATGTGGTAGGGGTGTGTACATCAGCTTGCTTAATTACCACTAGTCTGGCAGTTTTTGCAAGCCTACAGTAGTCAGCTCCTTTTCAGGAACCCGGGCTCGCTATCTGTCTCACCCTCCAACATGCTTTTTATAACTTTTTTTGCAATCCGTCTCTCTTCTGTCTCTCGGTACAGTAACCGTCTTCTTCTCTAAATCTGTTCCAGCCTGACAGTCTTCCTTTTAATTGACTCCAATCTCATGTTTGATTCATTCTTCCTCCGCCCTCGCGCTGTCATCTCTGTCATTGTTTCTTCCATTCACCCTCCCTTCCCTCATTTCCTCATTCATGCCATCCACTATTCTGTTTCATCACCATCTTTCTCCTTAACTGTCTCCTCATCCATTCGCCTGGTTTCCCCCTCCCTCCTGCCTGTTCTCTTTTGTTACTCTCACACTGAATACTTCTTAGTTTCTTTCTCTTTTCTGTCCACCTCTGTCTGTATCTATCTATCTCTCTCGCAAGTCATCAGGGGAGAGTGTGGGCGTCTGCAGGAGGCTTAGATAGGGAAAGTCTGCTCGTGCTCCTACTTCAAAGACTCCTTTTCCTTCTCGGTTGGAACGAGCTAAACTTTGAGGGGCTTGTCCTCCCTCACCAGCCATCCTCTTCATCCCCTATCATCATCACTTCCATCTTCTTTCTTTTCCTTCGACAAAACACCTTCTGAGAACCGGGGTATAGTGTACACTCTGCAGTGTACAAGACTCAACTCCTGAACCTTTGGCTTGAAACCATTCAACCAACAGAAGTGTCCTCTTTGCAGCTCTACCTTTGAAGTCTCTATGTTAGAGTAAAGTGGATTTCTCCACCTTCTACTCCTTTGGGCAAAGACAACAAAGAAAACATAAAATGGTAACCTGCACTGTGAATTGTCATCAGTGCAGGGAGGTAAGCTTTGTTGTGCAAATTTAATTTTGGCTCCACCCAGCTCTAACTAGATTTAAATTAGCTGGATGTGTTTTCTGTTGTGTTTCCACTTGCTTAGTTGCTAAACTTGACCCTGAACCAGAAGTTTAACTGGCATTGTCATCCCTATTCATATATTGTGTTATGTTATGTCAGTATGTTGCCAACAGTAAGAGTACAGAATGACATTTAGTATACTGTATAGAATTAGTTTGTATGGATTTGGAGACTAATTATAGCAGCGCTGCTCAATGGGCCAGTATGCTTCTTCAGAACTGCTTG